CATACATCTATCATAGAAATCTTGTTCCTTTAAATTTGTTGAGACATATATTTAAATAAAACTAATATAAAATCCCACAGGGACTTGCAGCATCTATAAATCAATGAACAGCATTCTATTTTGAACTTGTAAAATGTACTTATTTTGAGGGGGGAAACTACATGCAGTAATGACATGAACTTGCAAGGCCCTTTGAGGAATCTTAGAGGTCCTGAATGATCTCAGGACATACATAGTCTCTGAGAAAGACAAACATACATGTTACATAATAAATAGATTTTTCTCTCCTCTATGTACCTAAGTGTACTTATGATATCTGCCACAAATAATTTTGCTTTACATATTAGAAAAACTCAGTTGGTATGAAGGCATCTTTCTATCACATGCAATAGTCATATTACAAAAAAAAAAAATCAAAATGGTAACAAAATAGTAAAAGTCCAGAGATTTATCTATTTGACTCTCTTATAAATAGTTAAGTATTTGATTCAGGAGAACCATTTTTTTTTTTTTTTTTACTGCTTTCCATTCTCAAGCAATATGCTTAAGAGATAATGTACTAGGTCTTAATGAGTTTGCTTTTCTAATTGCTAAAAATGTTCTCCTCCCATGGGCTAATGACATAATTGATAATTTGAGGAAAAATAGGGATTTTAAGATTATTATATTTTTCCTTACACTAATTGTCTTGTTTTAACTAGATTACGCACATCATCTCATAAAATATTAAATGTTGAACACATCCTGCCCAATTAAATTATTAGTATTTATCAATTATAATTTCAATTGCTATTAATTCATAATACATTACATACAAATAAGTATAATTGATCTCTATAAACATATTGCACTCTTTAACCTAAAAGGCCACTGCATATGATCAATTTATTTTCTCTTTTCTTTTGATTAATTTCCTGAACTTCTCATCAACTATTCATCTCTTTTTTTTATGATGCAATGATAGTTTTGACTATGTAAATTTATTAATTCTATAAGCATTATATTTTTGTCTTCATTCACTTTTCTAGCTCTATCTTGAGATAATAACAATGCTTCAGGTCCCATTGGGTTTTTTTTTTGTGGCAAAGTCAATAACATTTTAGCTGCATGTAGAAGTAACTTCTCATTTTGAGTTAGTCAAAAGATCAAAGGATTTAAATTATTGATACTTTATATAAATCATCCCATATTTTCTGTATGTGAATATTCCTAGGATATTTGTGTGAACCTTTTGATATTAAACAGAAATATTCACTTCATGATAGTAAGAAAAATATTCTTTAACAATTATTTATTAATAATTTAAACTTATAACCTTACTTCCATGTCAAAAAATCTTTAATAATAATATTAGTTAACATTCATTGAGTTTTTCTAATATTCCTGGGAAAATTTTAGGTATTATGCATGTATTGTTTATGTATCACTCTATGACTGTGAATTCTGTATTTTCTCATCCCATTTTATAGATAAAGGAACTGAGGCATAGAAAAAAAATGTGAGAAATTGCAAACAAACAAATATAAAACCCCATACATGCAAGTAGTGGAGTCTTGATGCATATAAGATGTTACTCTTCATGCTAAATCCCCCCTCAATTAGACTCAGAAGGAATGTGTAACACTGTGCTTTGGTTGAGATTATAGGAGTATTTACAATCTATTTTCTGCTTCCTTTTTCAGCTACATTTCTTATTTCCTCCCCAAGAACATTACAAATGTGTTTTGGGGGTGGTGCGGAACATTTCTCTTCTTTTTCAAATAAGGAAAAAATAAAAAAATTTAAAAATATGTTAAAGCTCCATTCATTTAACACACTACTTCTCTGCCAAAACATCACATACACCTTCACATTCAGTGTACTGAATTAATAAAAAATAACAATTTTTTCAGTACTCAGTATGGTTTCTTGCATATGAAACAATTATTTGAACAAAGGCAAATCTTCATTTGTGATTGTTTCACTACATTCTAACCATTTGTTAAACCAATCAGCTCTCCTGGTCCACAAAGTTTCTTTACACTATGGCTGCTTATGTAGGTTCCCATGTTCCCAAACCACTTCTGTAGGTAATTTCATTTTCAGCATGTCATATGAGGGAGAGTACACAATAGGTGCTAATTACTTGTTTAATGAATAAATGAATTGTGCCTACAGGTCATGAGTATATTTAACATTTCCCCTTAATTTAGGATTATTCTATAGATTAGAAGTTTTTCTTTTTCTTTTTGGTTCTGGGGATTGAACCCAGGGGTGCTTTACCACTGAGCTACATACCCAGTGACACCCCTTTCCCCTGCATTTTTTTTTTTTTTAGACAGAGTCTCACTGAGTTGCTTATGCTTGCTAAATTGTGGAGGCTGGTCTTGAACTTGCAATCCTCTTGCCTTAGCTTCCAAAGTAACTGGGATTAGAGATGTGTGTCACCATACTGGGCAATATAGGGTAAAATCTGATAAACAGTATTCCTGAATATTCAATTATTCTGAGTAATGTTATATTAAACATTGGTTAAGGTAAACATGAGTAAATAAGCAAAACATTAAGGATTAAGGTAAGTCCAAGCAGAGTCTGCCCACAACATGTTCCCAAACCACTGCTGTCTATCAGTGACTATTAAAGGTCAGACTGTTCCTTCTAAAAAAACTTACAAATGTTCATCATATTACAGGTTACATAAGAGATAATATTTGTATTTGAAAAATGTTTGTTTAGTAGATTAATTAATCCTGAGACACATTATACCAGAAAAAAACTCTGCACAGTTAATAATACTATTTTATATAAATCTTCACATCAATAATCAAATTTATATTGAATTCAACCTTTGATCATCATGAATGTCTACATTTGTTGCAAACATTATTATTCCAGTGTATATTTAAAAATTCCTCAAAAGCAACATAAAAATGAAAGAAATTTTTGCATCCATTATTTAGAAAAATAAGTTTAAAATTGAATACATGAAATATATTTAGAATAATATCTTTTAAATACACTGTCATGTGCATAGACTCATGGTTCACTTCTTGTGCCTTTCCCACCAAGGTGCAAAACCAATATTTTTACTTTTGTGTTTTATATACGTATACATAGTTTGTAAAATTTATGAATGAATTTTTTTCTTTAACAATCTTACTGATAATCTTAGAAGTAATTAATTTATGTTTCCCTCCCAGTCCTTTTATCTCAATACATTAAAGACTCATACAAAATCATTATGCAATTACTAAGAAAAACATAATCACACACAATCTACTAAGAATATATAAACACACATGTACAAAGCTATCAGCTTTCAGTGGTATAATTAACACTTTTTGCTCAAGATTGATTTTCTTGTGAATGGAATTGGAAAGAAAAATTTCAGTTACAAATAAATATTGGTAATGTGAAAACAGGAGAATTTAATATTTTCAGTGAGGGTAACTGACTACAATAATTTGATAGCAGACATAACTTCAATTTTTTATATCAATTTGTTCCTAGACCCACTTCTGTTTGTTTTTGGCTACAACAGCAGATTTGTTGATCCAATCACATTAGAAAAAAAATCACTCAGGGCCCATCTTTGAATGCCAAAGACATAATTTTACAAAATTTACACTCATGAAGCTTAAAATGGCTCAGTATTTTGATCACCATTATTAAGCAGAGAAGCCTTGGTTAATTAGAAGTCTTTAAAAAAATTTTTTAAAAAAAATCTTTCTCTTGTTAATTCTATAAATATCCTGTTGATTTTATCACTTAAATGAAAATTAATCCTTAAAAAGGGATAGTATTTGTTAATATTTAACCACTCAGAGTTTTATTAATGTAAATAAAAGGTGGATATATAATTTAAGCTACAGGATTTTCAGATAGTTCAGCTTTACTTTCTTTAGTGCCCATAAACAATTGCTGAGATAAAATAAAAAATGAAGAAGGTCATCAACATACCACTGCTATGACTTACCAGATAATCTGATTAATTAGCACTATGAGACCAGAAAAATAACTTGATCAAGGAGTAATGGAATATATAAGGCATTGTCATACTTTTGGATTTATCATAGGACTGAGTTTTTAATGTATTTTAATGAAATGCATAGGTATATAATAATATATATCTTAATATATCTTGATATATTAAGATATATATTATATTGTATATATTAATATATTAATTAATATATAAAATATATATACTGTATTTTATATATTAATTAATTAATATATTTTTGAATGGTGAAAAGTTTTTCTAACTCATATAACTGTACATCAGATTAGCTTCAAAACGTAACTCTTTCTCTTCCTTGTGGAACTCAAAATCACACATATGCTAGGCAAATTATACTCCCAACTCCCTTTTAAAAATAATTGTCTTGGGCTAGGGATGTGGCTCAAGCGGTAGCGGGCTCGCCTGGCATGCGCGCAGTCCTGGGTTCAATCCTCAGCACCTCATACAAATAAAGATGTTGTGTCCCCTGAAAACTAAAACAATAAATAAGAAAAAAATAATAATTGTCTTTTTTTAAATCTTTTTTTTTTATTGTTGATTACTTGATTTTGAGAAGGGGGTCTTGAAATTCTGAATTGAGTGACCAATATGTTTCTGCCTCCCAAGTAACTGGGGCCACAGGGATATGCTATAGTCCTTAGCTTTATTTCATTTTATTCTCACAATAAATTATTTTCCTTTCCCATTTGGCAATTTTATTTTAGAAATTTTTATTTTATTATCAGGAATTTTTATTTTTTCAGTAGCATACTATTAGGCCTGGAGTTAGAAACAAACGTAAATGTAATCACAGGGCTATTTAATGGTTGGTGTTATAACAATTCAAAAGATATAGTTTTATAATGGACTTCAAATGTACATTTAAGTTGAATCTTGTTAGTACAGAAAGTTATCAATGTGAAATCTACTTTGATATAACATCAATACCCAATTTTGGCAAATTTTGCATAATGTCTTCTGCTTTTGAAGGTTATTTAGATTATTATCATTATGTTCTTAGCAATTGGTTTGGACTCCTGTCCTGAGCCACAAACTCCTAGCAGTGGAATTAAGATTGGAGACAGATATATGGTTGGTGATGTGGTATCCTTCCAGTGTGATCAAGGCTATTCTCTTCAGGTAAATCTGTTTTAAATTGTAGTTTTGCTTTTCATTATTCTTTCAGAATAGTTTAACAGATTAATGATTGATAATCCACAGGCTTTACAACAATCTTGATCCTGAGTTGCTTAATTTAGCCTTAAGTTAGAGTGTTCAATTTACTAGTAAAATACATGCATGAAAAAAAGTGCTAGAATATACTAAATTTGTTTTGTTTTGTGTTTGCTCTTTTGGAAGTGATCCAGAAGTGAGTTATTAATCAACATTTATCTTTACTTCTGTCTCTATTTAGATAGGATAGTGAGAATTAAACTCCTGATACCTAGAATTTGAAAGTGAAATGAAGTACTACTTAAAGTATTAAATGAAACTTCCATGATAATAAATCTTCAAATTAGCAAAAAACTACTCCAAATACATTTTGCTGATATGCTTTTGTATACATGTACTGATCCTCTTTGTAAGGATTTTTGGAGGGTCTCATGTTTATTGTATCATAAAAGTCCCTGTAAAGACTAGACCTATTAAGAAATTATTCTTAAAAATGGAAATGAGAAACTATTTCATAATTTAAGTAAACAAATTTCTTAGGCAATACAAAATTACAAATTAATAATTTTTATTCTTTAAGATAGTATCACAAATAATTATTCTCAGAAGTGTAGTCAGATTTAGAAGTATAATTGGATTATTTTAGACTTTATATTTTCAAATAAAATTTAATATACTTTGACCTGTTTAATATTTTTAGAGAAGATTCTTACAGTAATTCTTTAGCATATCTCACCTTGAATATTATTAGCAGCTTATTGTAAACCACTATGTATATAGGGCCCTTTCAGTTGTGTAATCATTGCAATGACTTAGTAGAATATCTTTTTATACAAAAATATTAAAGCCACCTTTTAGTGTGATATGAAGTCTTAATTTTTTTCTACCAAGATCATGCAGTTATTTTTTACATTTTATCACTAATACACATAATTACCTTTCTTACTTTAAATCATAATGATGTTTCCAATAAAAGTTGAAATATATGTAAAAATGATAATATATATCTACACATTTATTTTCATAATAATCAATCACTATAATGCATTTAATTTGGACTTTTTATAAATGTATACTGAGTCACATTGTCTTATTTATATAGGGTCACTCTCACATTACATGTATGCCTGGACCAGTAAGAAGATGGAATTATCCAATTCCAATTTGTTTGGGTAAGTTAAAAGAATATATATGATTTATAAGCTTCATATAATTTTAAGTACATACTCTGGGGGCTGGGGATGTGGCTCAAGCGGTAGCGCTCTCGCCTGACATGCGTGCGGCCCGGGTTCGATCCTCAGCACCACATACAAACAAAGATGTTGTGTCCGCCGAATACTAAAAAAAAATAAATATTAAAATTTAAAAAAAAAGTACATACTCTGTATATCATGTTCAAACACATAATTTGCCTCTTCTTACTTTTTGAAAAAGATATTTTGAAATAAGCATTTCATTATTTTAAAGGTTTTAAACTCTTGCAATTTTTAACCCTAAATTTCTGTTTCAACAGATGAGTTAAAACTGTAGAAACTGAGAGAATTTGTATGTTTTAGTTACCCTTACAGGGTTTACTCAGAGTGCCATGATAAAAATACCTATAATATGTCAAAAATAAGTAAATATCTTATTGCTTACAATTGAGCCAGAAAGATAAGAAACCTGAAGAATCTTCCAAAGGGCACATGATACCGCTGAGATGTATTCAGTGGTGACAGGCAATATAAAGAGTATATCAAAAGGGAACCTGGGTCCTTTGAAAGGAGAGCTTCCATGTGAGGAGGGGATACTGGGGATTGAACTCAGGCACACTCAACCACTGAGCCACACCAACAGTCCTATTTTGTATTTTATTTAAAGACAGGGTCTCACTGAGTTCCTTAGCGCCTTGCTGATACTGAGGCTGGCTTTGAACTCACTATCCTTCTGTCTCAGCCTCCCGAGCCACTGGAATTGGAAGCATGGGGTACTGTGCCTGACTAACCCCAATTTTTTGATCTAAATTAATTGTCCTTCCAAATTTTTTATTTATTATTTCTGTCCATCCTTTACTTTTTTGCCTTTTCCTCATTTTTGGTAGCTGTGTGCAACCATTAATATTCTGGGCTCTACAGAATTTGAAAAAAGAATGTGATGTACGGATTCCTACCTTCAAAATATTCATTTACCATTTGGCATGGTAGAAATAAGTGAAATTAATTTAAAACAGAATAGTTAGTGTTAAATGTTGCCATTGATTACACTATAGAATTTCAGAAAAGGTAGAAAAGTAACTGAAATTATTGGAAAATAATTTTCTTTTGTTCCTCCAAAATATCTGGCAGATTGCTTATTTTCTGGTTCACAAATCTGTAACTTTCTTATCTGATGACTAGAGTTTTAACATTGTTTGAATCAGCCTCCTATCTTCAATATCTCCTATAGTTTTACATAGAATTTTATAATTAAGCATAATTAAGATACATGGAAAAAGAAGATATCCCTTTCTGGGTTGTAAAAAGACACAAGCAAAAGAATTTGCACTACTTATGGCTACCTCCTCCTGAGTCTTCTCATGGTTTTCCTTCTTCGACACTGTTGATGTCTCTTCCTGTTAAGTTGAGCCAGTCCAATAGAATTGGCCTCATTCAACATTAATTACCTCCCTAAAGGCCCTGTTTCCAAATAAAGTCACACAGGGGCTAGTTAGGACTTCACCATACAAATTTAGTCTATAATAGCTATGACATTGTACATAATTCTATGTGGAAAGTATTAGAAAATTATATTAAGAGTAATTATTTTTAAATGGCAAAGATATGGAAAGCCCTCAGACTTATGATGGGTGATATTTTTAAAGGTAATATTTTTAGGTATTATATGTAATTTATAAATGTATACTGTGCCAATTGAAAAACTACACATACAAATATAGTTCCTTATTGTGAACATTTATATGCAAAGTTGATGTTGATTGCAAATGTTAGTATACTATGTAAATGAGTCTTGTGTGTATGTATTGAGTATAAAAATTGATATTATAGATTAAAAATTACATGAAAGTATGTTCATTGCATTATTGTTATAACTATGAAAAATGGTAACAAACTAAATATCAGAACAGAATTGGCTAAGCAGATTGGGGTTCATTTGCATAGCAGAACAATAAAAAATGAGACATCTTCATTTACTGATATGGAAAGATGTCTAAGTTGTAGTAAATGTGTGAACACCAAGATAATGTGCAGGCCATGAATGCTACTTTGTATTAAAGTAAAAATGTGTTGGGTATATATATATTTTTTTATATTTGTATAGAAATTTTCTGGAATTATTCATACAAAACTCTCTAGGACAAGGAACTATATGTTTAATTTTATATTCTTTTGATCCATTTCTATGTTTTAACATTAGCAGACCTTTATTTTTTAATAAAAAGTGGCAATATTTTAAGCTTCATAATTGTCATGCTAGTGTGGTATAATTATATGAGATTGGTAGAGAAAATGGATGAGATCTTGATTGTCCTTCTGAAGTCAGAGATAAGTATCAGAGACATATTTGTGAAAGTTGTCAATTTAAAGGTTTTATGAAATTGCAGAAGTGGAGGAAATCATGTAGGGAAGAGAAATATGTGAAAATCTCTGAGGGGGAAACTCTCGCATGTTCACATTTGTTTAGCAAAGGGGAAGGAGAGTCAGCAAAGAAAACAGAAAAGCTTTAATAAAGAGGTGGTAAAACCAGATCTGTCCATTGTAATATTTAAATCAAAGGAAGAGCTTCCATATTAAAAGTTTCCAGAAGAGTCCTGAAGACAGAGGACTCTGCAGGGAAGAGCACATTTCCCGATTTTCCTCCCAAATCTCGCTATTACGTTTCAGTTTCTTTGCCACCATATTCTTTCCTAGTCACTGTTCAGTGTTTGTCTCGTAAAGCTGGGGTCTATACTCCTTTTCCCACCCAAGAGTGATCACATGCAATAACAACTTATAGGTAAATTTACCCACTCCAGACCTTTTCTCCAAACTCCAAACCTCTACATCTAAATGCCTATCCTCTCTTGGAAGTTTCAAATACAATTCAAACTCAGTGTGTGGAAAAACTCATGTTCTCATCTTCATCAGCATCCACTTCCCAGGGAATAAGACCACCACCTAGCTAGTTGTACAAGACAGAAGCCCAAGAACTATTATCAACATCTTTTTTTCCCCTTACACTTTTATTTCCAATCCATCATCAAGTTCTACTGATTTTACATTCAAAATGGGCTAAGCTCAGAGCATAGAAATTGTTGTACCAAATTGTATGCATATTTAAATTTCTGTTAGCTGTTGTCAAGTTGTCTCAAAACATTATACCAACTTCCACTTCCACTTTCAAAGAAGAAAGTGTTTCCTCTCCAGAAATAGATATTATCTAAAGTTTTTGTTATCAAACTTTGATCTAATTGGTAAAATATTCTTTACTTGTTTTGTTTTCATGTTATTCATATATTGATTTCAGACTGAGATTGAACATCTTTTCCCTCTTAGCCATTTTATGTCCTATTTGTGTCTTTTGCCTATTTTGGAACATCAACTTTTCCTTTTTTTACAGATTTGCAAGTGCTCATAATGTATTATGAAAACTGGACTTTTGTTTGTTATACATGTAAAAAACTTTTTACAATTTACAGATTTTTTGTTTATGCTTATTTATCATATTTACATTTAAATTTCATGACTTTAAATTTATCAGTTTTTTACTTAATGGGTTCTGGAGTTAGGTAGGCATTCCTCACTTCAAGCTACTTAAATTTTTCTTACTCCTTTCCTTCTACAATGGGCTTCCTTCACAATTAAGTCCTTTCTTCACCTGTATTTTTTTTGTATGAGTAGATTAATTTTGTTCTAAATTAATAGTCACATGCCTTAGAAACATCTTTTGAGTTATATAATTTTTTCAGTGATTTAAAAAGCGTCTCCATGTCAGATTAAAGGTTTAACTTAACACATGTCAAGTCCCTTCCTGGAACCCCTAATCTATTTCATTGACTGTTTATTAATTTTCAGTTCCAAATTGTCTCAATTACTAGACAGTTACAAGGTTTAGTACCCTGTCAAGCTTGACTGTTTTCCTTACTGCACTTTTATCTAAATTACTGAATTTTGTTATTAATTAGGCACTAAGTTGCCTTTTATGTTGTTCACAATTGTAATTTTTTATTCTCTTAGGATGATATGTATCATAAGATCAACCTGTTAAAAGAGTTTTTATGTGATGATTATTTTCAGAAAATGTTTAGTAATATAATCGTGGGATTTTCCCTCACTTTAATAAGAATGTTTTTACCAGTTTGATACTAGGTATAGTATAAATTTTTATGATACAAATTTTGATTACATTAATGGTCATTCTATTTGTATTTCAATCTTGCTTTTAATCACGGATTATAGGGGCTAAGGGTATAACTTAGTGGTAGGGTGTTTGCCTAGCATGGAAGAAACCTTGGGTTCAATCCCCAGCACCACCCAAAAGAGAAAAAAAAAATAGATGATTAATAATATAAAGCTTCATTAAACACCTAGGTAATTTACTTTGTAATCTGAGTTGTTACAGTAGTTAATTGCTATAACAGATTTTTCTAACATTAAACTACTTTGCATTCCTAGAGAAACCTCCTGTTGGTCATGACTTATTCTTTCAATGTGTTCCCTAAATTCATGTCAATATATTATTTTAAACTTCAGTAATTATATTAGTGAATGTGATTATTAAATTTGTCTTGTTGTTTTGTTGCTCTGTTTTTCCTGCCTTTAGTTTGTTTTCATAATCATATTTTTATAATCTCTCAATGCCTAAAGATGTATTAAAATCTTGGTCCTATTTAAAAAAATAAATAAATAAATAAATAAAATTGATATTATAGAAGTACAAAGAACAAAATAAATTATGTTTATTTTTATGATATGAGAAACAAGAGTTCAGTTTTTTGTTCATTACTATACCCCATCATCTACTATGATTCTCAAATAGGCATCTGATAGATAATATTGTAAAATGGACAATATAAAGATTTGGGTTGCTACAACATATGCATATTTATGTTTTCTTTCTTAATATTAACTTATACAAATTTCTAATTCCATAACATATTTTCAAAATAACTTCCTAGAGCTGAGCCTATAATTATCTAACTTGTATTAGAGTCTCATTTTTTTCTACTTTCAAACGTAATACTAAATAAATGTTTTTCAGATGCTTTTATATATATCTATTTGTTTGCTTAGAATTTTACCTAGATTAATTATATCATTTCATATAATTGTTTAAAAACTTTAATAACTATTGTCAAACTACTTTTAGAAGTTTGTAGTAGGGCTGAAGTTGTGGCTCAGCGGTAGAGTGCTTGCCTAACACATGTGAGGCCCTGGGCTCCATCCTTAGCACCACATAAAAATAAACAAATAAAATAAATGTATTGTGTCCAACTACTGCTAAAAAATAAATATTAAAAAAAGAAGTTTGTAGCAATTTAAGTAACATTCTAGTATTCTGTTATTGTTTCCATTCTGATAGATACCTAGAATCAATTATTTTTCTTAAAATTTTGTGATTTTTAGATAAAATTTTACTACATTTTTATGAAATCTGTATTTCATTGTGTATGATTAAAAGGCAAATAATGAATAGAAGTTATATTTCATAAAATCAAACTAGAAAGTTTTATTATTTGGATTAAATTATATGAAACCATATGGAATACTCAACAGACTTTGATGTCCAATATTGCTATTTTCTGATTTCAACACTAGGTAAAAGAGTTTTGTAGTATTCTTCAAGTATCTGTTTTTTCACCTGTTAAATGAGGCAACAATGTTTGCCTCATAGGTAACTATGAAAGCTATAGGAGAGAATGTGTTTAAAGTGTTTAGCACTGAACCTGGAATACACAAAGCACTCAAGAGTTGTAGCTATTAAAATGAAAAATACCTATTATTTAGGGTCCAGTAATATGGAATAGATGTTTCTAAAAGAGAAATAATCATTATAATAGAATATTTGATGATGAGGACAATACCTGCAGTATATAATTAAATATAAAAAGGCTTAAAGCAATTCACAGTACGATCCTATTTTCATTATACCAATTTAGACACACATTTATTTATGCAGAGAAAAAGGGATGTAAATATGAGTGGTGAAATTAGAGGGCATTTTCTTTCTTTTCTATTGTTTCTATTTTCGCTTATGTATTTATTTGCTAGTGGGGATTGGATGTGGGAATTCTTTACCAATGAAAGACACCCCCAGTCTTCTTTATTTTTTTTATTATTTTTTTTAATATTTATTTTTTTTAGTTTTCGGCGGACACAACATCTTTGTTTGTATGTAGTGCTGAGGTTTGAACCCGGGGCACGCATGCCAGGCGAGCGCGCTACCGCTTGAGCCACATCCCCAGCCCCTCTTTATTTTTTATTTTGAGGGTGGAACTCACAGAATTGCTTGAGACTGTGATCCTCAGTCCTCGCAAGGATTCCAGGCATGTACCACCACACTATTTCTAATTTTTATATATTTATGTATTTACATTTTCTGAATGTTGAACAATTTAGCAGATAATGTAAAATACTTGCAACGAAACCACGGCCATATTGAAAAGAGATACTGAAGACAGGAGGCTGATTCAAACAATGTTAAAACTCTAGTCATCAGATAAGAAAGTTACAGATTTGTGAACCAGAAAATAAGCAATCTGCCAGATATTTTGGAGGAACAAAAGAAAATTCATAAGCTATTTTAGATATTAGATACAAAGTAGAGAGAAGAATCAAATGATTTTATCTTAGAGAACTAAGGTATGGTCATGTGCTTAACAAAAAGAATATAACGGGCCTATAAAGGAGCCTACTTGGAAGCCACTGATAACATACATGGAATTGTCATTCATGGAATGGAAGCCACAGGTACATACATGGAAATGTCTTTCGTGGAATAGGAACCTGTGAAATTGCTCACATTGATGAAATAGAAATGATACAAGAAATGATCTAGGCACAAAAATGGTTTTGTTTGGGTATTTATTTAATGTGTTTTTCATGGGTTATCATTTCAGTTTCTTACTTTTTTTGTTATTTGTTTACTCTTAATTCTCTTTCCTTTTTCCCTCTCTGATTTTGAAATTTTATTTCCAGGTGGGTGGCCAGTGCAGAGAACAGGATTTTAGCATCATATCTAGAGAGTGGGTAAATAGAATTAGAAGGACGATGATTTGGAATTGTGAGAGTGAAAAATAAAAAAAAAATTGCTCTTGTCTTTTATTAAAAATTAAGAACGAAACAAAGCAAACTGCAAATTCAATTTTTTCAGATTTTTTTTTGCACATAAAGGGTTTATTTTAAATGTTTTAAGGATAGGATAGAGTTACATTATAATTATAATTATAAAAATCACAGAGTTAACAGATTTTTATTGTGTATACTTCTAAATGCAGAAAACAGGGCACTGTCTACACATTGTGTAGAATAGATTTAAAATTAAAAATGAATTCAAGCTTACCTAGTCTTGAAATGTAAATATAAAGACCTCTGCACTAATGATGGAAAATACAAAGAGCACAGCATTTTCAAGGAACCACACTCATTTCAGTCATAATTAGTCATAATAATTGTTTCTGGTTTGTCTCTGGAGAACTTTCATTTTTTTAAGATAATCAGTTTAAGAGTGTTTTTAGGCACTAGAATTTGTGACAATCAGGATAGTCTTCAAATAGGTCTACAGTATTCAGAGATTCAAGCCCAATACACTAGGGATTTGGTACATAAAACAAGAATAGAAATGAAATCGGATTTAGAATTAACTGATTTTTTTAAAAAAAATTATTTTTTAATCACATGTGGACTCAATAACTTTATTTTATTTTTATGTGGTGCTGAGGATCAAACCCAGTGCCTCACCAGTGAGCACTCTACCACTGAGCTCTAACCCCAGCCCGTAGCTTGATTTTTTTTAAAGAATGCACAGTCCCTTCAAATGCTGCATGACATATTCAACTGGAAAATCTCCTTGTGTTGGCAAAATAGTTTTGATTGACAAAATTACTCTCTTAATTATCAGGTTTTATGATGAATGTATGTGGACAGTTGAATTTTAGAATAATGAATTGGTAAACGTTAATAGTATATATAAGTGAAAATTCTTTTGGTTTAAGGATGAATGAACTGAGATTTTAATGGATAGAGAATTATGCAGAGTTTCATGATAATTCAAAATTTGAAAGAAAGGTCATGCATGTTACACTAAGATTTTATGTATCTCCCTAGTAAAATCTGCTTGAGGCATTATTTCTTCAGTTCAAATAGTAAAAGACAGCTGCCAAACTGGTTATTGAATATTGTACAGAACATTGATAAAATTTCTATTGTCTTTGTGATATATAACTTGAAGTTTCAGTAACTTTTTTTGTTCTTAACAAGAAATAAATGAATGAAATTGTAAATAACTGTTCTCTATAGGTTACTTTTGGACTTGATATGTAGTCATGACATTTGATTCTTTATTTAACAATTAACAGATGCACGTTTATAGACTTTCTTCAATGAGATAAAATATGCCTGTAGAGGAAAGATTGATCACTTCAAATGTAATTAGCATTTAATATGTGTGAAATATCTATGTAAAAACATAACAAAGAACTTAACATTCTATAATTGTAATTTTTGCTTAGCCTATCAACAGCCCATATATAGGGATTCTGAAACAAGCATGTTTATAAATTCTGCTGTTTTTAATATATAACATCCTTTTGGGTTTTTTTATACCTCACTATTCTTTCTCTTCATTCTTTTAGGATAAAATAAAAACATGTATCATGTTTGATATGTAAATATCTCACATATTAGAAACTGATATTTTCCTTAAAATTCTTTACTGACCTTTCTTACAAAAAAAGGAAAAGGAAGGAAATTCTTGAAAATTATTCTCTCTTGAGTATGGCACTTAAAGCTGAAGTAGTTGGCTTGATTTTATTCTAAATTATATCATATTTGGAATGACTCAAAACATTACTAGAAGAACTTAAAAAAAAAGAAATGAACTGCTGGCTGTGGAAAAGGGGATATGTTCTTTGTTTGATTGTATTTAATGCACATGAGAAGTTATTTGTCATGCAAAAATTATTTTAACTTGTACTTATTTCCGAGGAGAGAAATATGATGACTTTTATGCTATTTTAGAAAATGCATTGCCAATTGATTATATTTGGTTACTGGTAAATGGCAAATGACTGTTGACAATATTCAAATTTATATCAGTTTTAACTCAGAGACTTGATGACAACCTAAAATGTTCCAATATGCTTTTAATATAGCAAATTATTCCACAACTCTGGCTTACATGGAAACTTTATTGTTTTGCAGCTCAATGTGGTGGTGCTATGTCAGATTTCAGTGGTGTGATCCTCAGTCCTGGATTTCCTGGAAACTACCCCAGCAGTTTAGATTGCACATGGACAATCAAGTTGCCCATAGGTTTTGGTATGCATATTATTAAATTATAAGAGATTTTTCAGTAGTCACTAATTCATTCTTTTAAAAAGTATCAGTGTTTGAAAAGATTTACAAAGTATTCACAAAATACAATTTAGCTTAAGAGTACCTATAATTATATAAATTGAGGGATAAAATTTGAATAATTGTTGCTTAAGCCAAATGTATTTCACTTGTATACTTGGTTAATTGAAAGTATATGGGTATTTTCTCTTTTTTCTTATTTGTTATTTTTTCTTTCATACATGACAATAGTGGAATGCATTACATTCATAATTATCCACAGCACAGTTTTTCATAACTCTGTATATAAAGTATGTTCACGGTAAATTATAACATTATACATGAGCACTCTTATTGATTTTTTTTTGCTTTAAAATTCTTAATCACCTTTATGATATTTTTAATTTTTTTTTTGTTTGTAGATAGATACAACATCTTTCTTTCTTTCTTTATATATGGTGCTGAGGATTGAATTCAGAGCCTCACACATGCTAGGAAAGTGCTCTACCACTGAGCTACAACCTTACCTATCTTATTAGTTATTTTAACAAAAATATTGTACGTATTTATGTACAACAAGACATTTTAAAATATGTGTACACTATAGAAGGGCTAAATTTGTTAATATGAATTACCTCACATTCTTATCATTTTTTTGTACATTTAAAATCTATTCTTAGCAATTTGGAAAATACATTTTTATTTATTAATTATAGTCACCACATTGTATAATAGATCTCTTGAACTTTTTTTCCCCTATCCAATTGAAATTTTAAACATTTTGACTTAGTGTATCCTAATACCTACTTCCCTTCACTCTCCAGGAACAGCAACCTAATATCTGCTTCTATAAGTTTACCTCTTTTAGATTCCACATAAAAGTGGGATCATGTGACTTTTGTTTTCATTACTGGCTTATTTCACTTAACAAATGTTTCCACGTTCATTCATGTGTCATAAGTGATAATTATTTCTTCAATTTTGAAGGCTGAATTCATTATATGTATAATCTTTATTCATTATATATATTTATATGTCCATATATTTATGTCTATATATTTATATGTCTATATATATATGTATATATGCATATACATATATATATACATATACATCTAAATACATATACATATATATCTCATATATGTGTGTATATATATGTATGTATATATCTATATATAATGATCTTTATCCATTCATCTATTGCTAGACAGTATATTCCTTATCTTGGCTATTATGAAAAATGCTGCAACCAATGAACATGTTATACAGATATCTCTTTGACATACTGATTTCAATTCCTTTGGATATATCCCAGTGTGGAATTTTGGGAATATATGGTAGATCTAAATGGATAACCTGTGTTAGATCTGTATAGCAATGATACATTCAACATATATTTCATGTATAATTGTTTGTGTAACTCTTATTACCATGAGCAAATAGTACATAGCTAAATTATTTTTCTGGTAATCTCTTGAGTTCACACATTTTCTCTGTAAATAAATTAGATTTAGAAATTTCCAAATAGTAAATGTATCCTAATGCTAGATATAAATACACATTTAGATATTATACCTTTCTAATTCTAATGATATCATTTCCAATATTGAATATTACAATTATATGGAGCATTTAGGAAATTTTTCTTAATCTTGCATTACTAATATATTACCATACAGCATTTTCAAATCCCATGAGCCTGTTAATGAATATGATGAGGGGATTAATTGAGGGTAGATTTGTTCATTAAATCCCAGAAGACTAGAATGAGTGGGTACTCATTGAAGAAACATAGAAAAGCTAATTATTCTGGGTAGATAGCAAACTAAAGGCTCAGACCTTGAAAGTGTGCCTCTACAACTAGATGGAAGCATATCCAAGTATACTGATATAAGAGTCTGCATGTGTATGTGTGTGTTTATGTCAAATGTGGTTAAAAGTAAAGTAATATTAGATATTTTTTTTTCTTTTCCAGGTGTACACCTCCAGTTTGTAAATTTTTCCACAGAAACTATACATGATTACTTGGAAGTAAGAAGTGGATCCTCAGAAACTAGTACTGTAATTGGCAGGCTTAGTGGTCCTCAAATACCATCTTCCTTATTCAGCACAACCCATGAAACCAGCTTGTACTTTCATAGTGACTATTCACAAAACAAACAAGGGTTTCACATTATATATCAAGGTGAGAGGAATGAAGAAAAATGAAAACTTATTTAAGCTCTATTTGCAATTTAAAATCGTTAACCAAATATAAGTATTTTCTGAATTCTGTCTCAGAAGGGAAAGGGACTTAAACCAAGGCAAACTTCAATAAGGAAGATTTTTTAAATAATGCAGCTCTCAGGGAACTGTACAGGAAAATGATGTCTTTCTGAGGCCTTAGAAAATCATAGCCAGAGAAAAAAGATTGAGTTCACCTTAAGTTAATACACAGTTACATGTTAAGCAAGGCAGGAAAATTAAGCAAGGCAAACTGTAAATCAAAGATTTATCTTTGCTTTTATATCAAATTGAACATTTTGAAAAGATATAGCATTATTCTTGTACATTAAATTTTTTCTTTACTTTGTGAAAGAATAAAACCACATTCCTTGATTTGCTCTATTGCAATGAAAATAAAAAAATAAATACCTTGATAGTCATATTACCTTAGAACTGTCTCATATAAAGCTGCTGCATGATCTTGAGCAAGATTTTTATCCCTTTTGAATGTAGGCTTGCACTGAGGCAGAGCTAAGCTAAAATGCTGATGGTCTCTATTCAATCTAATGTAGCATCAGTCTTGACCCTCATTTCATAATATAACTAGTTATCATACCTTCCAAATATGTGATGTTTAATTTTGTATTATAGAATACATGTAAGGCATATACCATGATGCGTATTATTAACAATTATGCAGTACATTTTAGCAATTTTATTATGCTATTGTTTCTGATCTTAAAAGTAAATTCTGTTCAAATTAAATATTTAAAGTTATGATGAAATTCTACACAGTGTAGCTTTAGCAACTGTAATTAATCAAAGCATCTTGAAATTTTGTTGCATATCTGCCTGATTATTAAAGGACTTTATGAGCTTGTGATACTTTTGAATGTAAGCTCCCTGAGAACAAGGACTTGGTATTATTCATTGATGTATCTGAAGTGCCTAGAACATAAGAACACTAGGAGTCATCTCTACCACCTCTTAGTATGGAATTACCTATATTAAAAGAAAATAATAATCATTTTAAACAGAATAGGATAACTAAGATTTACTCTTTTTCTTTGTTGCATGAAGGCTCAAAATCATAGTTGTAATGCCCTCTAGAAATTTAACCATCCTATGCCAAGCTCTGCTGTTCACTTATATTGGCTTCATTTTCTTTTTCCTACCCTCATTTTGCTTCTGCCACTCAAAGTAATGTTATTCAAATGATGTGAAACTAGAATTTAAACTTTTTATTTGTTAGTTTTTCCTTGAAAAAAATCATTATTGACATAATAGAAGTATAAAAGAGAAAACATTGTTCTACTGTTATTGACATTAACATTATTGACATAAACCATTGTTTATGACAATGACTAGATACAATTTATGAATCACATAAAATTTAAAACTATTTTCTTTAATGGAATTTTAAAGAAGTTGATGTTATGTGTATAGTTATATATGAATCTATATAACTTACTAATTTATTTTTTGATTGATATTGTGTAGACTTTTAGAGCAGTCTGAATTTTATAAAAATGCATAGTATACAATTAAGTATTCCCTTCTAATGAAAAACGTGATTGCAAAATTAGTGATATTACTAGAAATATTAGGTTTATTAAGTCCTATGTTGTATGTAATACTAGGATGAGAACTTTTGTTTTGAACATTTAAAATCTGGTTCCTACACTTTCTTTATTAAGCTGGAAAGAATACAGACAAGAACATTGTATGAATTTTTGTAGGATCATACATTTGTCTGAGTCCCTTTCTATTAAAATGCTTATTTAAATATCATTGAAAATTTAAAGGGATTATTTAATAGAATAATATGTCCCAACCCCCAATGATAAAATTATATGTATTGGCCTTACATTGGGTCTGACATATTTTAGTGTATGGATCATTACTTAAAGTGAGAGACAGATTAAGAATAAAAGCACCTAATATTTTTAAAGATTTTATTCATTCTAAAACCTCTAGTTATAAATATTGTAGTTATATTTTAATAAACAATAGGATAACTTATTCATATTCAAATGTAATTTTTATTTGAAGAATATATAATTTTAATGGTCTACAGCAAAATAATTTCTGGTTGTCAGCCACTTAAATTCTATTAATTAGAATATAAATTTCAACTTCTAAATAGTAAAGTCATAAACACGTGAGTATATAACATGTTCATAAGTTTAAATTCATTCAGCAGTGTTTATCAAGTACATACTGTGTGAAAGGAAATGAGCAAGGCTTTAGGATACAGTGATAAACAACAACAACAAAATAGCAACTCTTATCTCATATAGAATATAAAACAAGAGGAGTATGAACAAATAAACAGTTATGCCTCAGTACCAAAAATCACAACAATAGATATACAAAGTTTAGTTTCTACTAGAGGAAAATTTTTCCTAGAACTTTATTTTACTAAATGAGTCTCTGAAGAAATCTAACAGAGGGATATTGAGGTCTATTTTTAGAAAAAAAATCTAAAAATTTTAAGAAGGCTCAGAATTTGACTTATACCTACACTTATTTTATTCTGTGTTCATGCAACATAACCAAGAAGCAATTGCATTCTAATGAAGAAAATCAGAATATGTTTGATTAAAATTATGACTCTAGGAGGAGTTTACATTTTCATTCAGGTTTATAATTTAGATAGCACAAATGGGTGAAGAAACTGATTCATTTTTTATAAATTGTACTAACATTTAAATATGAAAATTACAGCTATTAGAAGAAATTCTTATCACTGTCTTTAACAGCATTTATTATAAATAATAATTACTATTTATAACTAACTATAAGCAGCATCACATATGTTCATAAGTTGCTAATACTATTCATCTATGGTCTCTGAAATTCAGAAAAGATAATGTCTTCATTATTTTTTCTAGCTTATCAATTGCAAAGCTGTCCTGATCCACGCCCATTTCGAAATGGTTTTGTGATTGGCAATGATTTTACTGTGGGTCAAACCATTTCATTTGAATGCTTCCCAGGATACACACTAATTGGAAATTCAGCTCTCACATGCCTTCATGGAGTCAGTCGTAACTGGAATCATCAACTTCCAAGGTGTGAAGGTATGTTTCTAAATTGAAGCTATCTTTTCGTGATAAACAATTGTGTTCAGTAATTCTTGCATTGACATTCTTCCTTGTCTTCTTCTTCCAATAGTATGCTACATACATAGTCTCCTTTTCAGTTGAAGAATTAATCAAAGAAAACCAAACCTAAAGCTCCTTAATAAATAACTGGTTTTATCAGTATTGACAGGGGTCTTAACCTTCCCCATTGGAATGAAAATAAAATCAACTAACACTTTAGAAATTTTCTTTTGTGTGTATGGAGTTGTGCATGTGGATGTATTTAATAGTCATTATTATAAGCTAATAGCCCAGATACCACTACTAAATTTGAGTTCCTTCCCATAAAAAAATGTTTTAAATGTAAAGGCCTTGAACCTCTTGTAAGGCATTATACATATACATGATATGATATAAAAATATCAAAGAGTTTGCATTGATATAAAGTATTAAAAAAAGAACAGAAAATATAAATTACCAATTTTGTGATGATTAATGATAGCAAACATATAGCACACCTCATATTGAGAAACAAAGTTGTACTATATTGTTTTCCATTTTGCCAACTTCATTTTATATACTGTAAAGTAAAAAACACAAAACAGACATAACTTATACTACATAAGAAATACTATATATTTGTTGTTTTCTTCATTTTCTGTTTATTGTTATTTTTTAACATTTGATTTTATGTCTTTTTCCATAGCTCTTTGTGGTGGGAATATAACTGCAATGAATGGCACTATTTATTCTCCTGGGTATCCAGATGAATATCCAAACTTTCAAGATTGCTTCTGGCTTGTAAGAGTACCCCCTGGGAATGGAATCTACATCAATTTTACTGTCCTTCAAACAGAACCAATCTATGATTTCATTACTGTATGGTAAGCAAGGACCATTGTTATTGATTGATTCAACTATATTAAGAGCAAAACGAGGTAGGATGAAAATATATCACAATCCTCTGTTACAAATTCCCATCTGATATTTAAGTTGGTGTGAGTAAATGAAGGTGACAGTATGTGTTTTTGCAAAATGAGAAAACAATAGAAGTAGACTTTGGCTTATCTGCCTCATGAGTTAGCTAAATATTGTAGAACAAAAGCTTCATAGATTAAAGAGATTTAAAGTTATCATTATTAATGTGCTAAAACAGACAATTAACAGAGTTAGTTTTAAAAGGTTCTTTGTTTACAAAAACTGATAAAGTTCAAGAGTCTATATTCAAATCACAATTATTTAATATAGCTATTTAATTACCATCATAACAATTTATTATAAAATAGTATAATTGCATATTATTATTCTATCAATATCAATTAAAACTTCATTTAAAAGTGAAGAGATTTCTGACTCATTGCCAAACAAAACTACTGTCTGAATTCTAAATCTAACCATCTGTGACTTTTGAGATTGTTGCTGAAGAAAATGAAAGGGTGGCAATTCTGAAGCATTTAAGAAAATCTTTTGGTCAAAAACCAAACACCATGTATTGATCACAATGAATATAGGTGTATTTCACTGAGGTAGAAGACTGATCTGTTTTTATATTCTACATTCTAAAATATGTTATCACCTATATAGTAATAAAATATACCAATGTTTTGTTGCTTATTGATTATTTTATCAGTTTCATCTTTATTGTTAAAATAGTAATATAAGTATAAAAAATACTTTCATTAAGCTTAGTTTAAAACTCTCCAAAAAACTAATCTTAATCTCACCTCCTTCTCCATTCTCCTATTAGGGATGGACCTGACCAAAATTCACCTCAAATTGGGCAGTTCAGCGGAAACACTGCCTTGGAATCAGTCTACAGCACTTCAAATCAGATCCTAATCAAATTCCACAGTGATTTCACAACAAGTGGCTTTTTTGTGCTCAGTTATCATGGTTGGTATTATCTAAGTGTTTCTCTTTTATTTGATGCTGTTTAACTTGTCCTAGAGAAAAAAAAAACATGAATGCAATACATTTTTAACCAGTAATTGAAAGATATTAAAATTTGACACATTGTCACTTCAGCATTCCAAATACACTAACTTGCAAAGGATGACCTCTACTATGTATATAGAGATATTAAAATATGAGCCCATGGATATAGATAATAAATCAGTCAGTAATTACCCAGTGGAAAATAATAATTTTTTGCATGGAAACCAATAAAATAGAACCAGCTGTTCATATTTTATTGCATGTAATTTGGAGACATCAATAGACTTTTTCTGTGAAAAATGTTTAATCTATTCAACCTGCTGTGAATTTTTCTAAAATTAACATCCAGTGTCTTTATGCTTTGGATCACATAACTCATTCATTTATAATCTTGTTTCAAAAGTGTATCTATTCTGGAATCTTAGCATTTTAACTGACTATTCCAGTTCATTAAGTTCATAGCTTCTACTCCTGTGGAATAATTTATGGAGTCTCAATTTAAGTTCTTTATATAGAATTGTTCTTGGTTCTACCTTCATAACATTAACTTTTTGAAAGGACATTGAGAGGGTTTTACAAAGGTGTTTCTTTATTTCCTTTATCCCAAATTGATTATATTCCATCTTAAATAAGAAAATGTTCATTTACCTGGTTACATCCCTTTATTGAGTGTAACTGTAGTTTAATAAAAAAAAAAAAACACATTCTGCCTCAAATAACCTTTATACAAATGCTGTATTTCACTGAACCAATAATCTACTAAATTTACCAGTTATATGAAAATTTGAAGATGAATATATGCCATGTCCATTACACTGCTATACAACATGATCTTTTTAAAATGAAGTAATGAATTTTTAGACTCAAAGCTGATATTCCAAGAGCAATGATATGTCAAATGTTATTGTCTTCCAAATCATTAAAACATATTGGTATAGAAATAGAGAATTTACTATAAAACATTTGAGTTCTTTAGTCTCAGTATTTGTCAGCCAGTTAGATGGTATCTAATTAGTGTCTCCTTAGTGACCCATAGCCAGCAGAACTGAATGTGATCACAGCACAGCCAATTAGAAAGTAGGGTATACAAGTCAACTTTTTGTGGGGCTGTTTATTTCTTTAATAACTCTTTTTATCTTTTTTTTCTGATGAATTGATCATTGATGCTGGTAGTTTATAGTTACAGCCTAATACTGAAACAATAGCATTTTTACTTGATTGATGATCATAATTCTGGAGCCAGTAAATAACCATTAAGATCAAAAGATAAATGAATGAATTGGGTTCTTTCTTCATGAATCTCTGCCTAAATTTTTATTATTTTGTATACTGCCTAAATAAGTCATAAAGAAGAGACTATTCATTGATGGACTATAAATATCCATAAGATAATTTTATATGAAGTGTTAAGTTCTTACAAAATTTAGGAGGCATTTCGAAGTGAAAATATTGTCAGAAGAAAAGATGTCAGCATTTGTGCATGAAATCTGTTTAGAAAATATGTGGGTGACAGACTTATGCATAACTACATAAATATGAATGTAGATTTATGTGGATGCATGTGACTATACAAACATATATTATCATTCTTTTCATTTGACTTTTGCAACTTGCTTTTGGGTTATGTTCAACATAAATAGAATAGCTTAGGGATAAAGTAGATCAAATATATGCTTAGTACTTTTTTTCCAGTTGACTTTGGACAAGTTATCCTTTGGTCTTCACTTTCCTCAGCTGATAAACAGCATGAATGGATTGTTGAGGGGCTAAAATGAGATACTGTACGTATATAATTTATTCCAGTTACTGGCATATATTATGTTAATTCATATGAAATTATTGGTAAAAATATTAAGTATTAACAATTTTGTATAGCACAATCCTAAAAATTAATATCACTGTTACTATTATATATGTTAAAGAATTGGAGACAATAAATAATGTACAGATCACATAATGCCTGAAAAAAATAGATGTTTAGTAATATTTGCTTCCATATCATATCTTGTTTCACATTTTAGATTTTATAATAGTGGATTTATTTTCATTTATGTTTATACTTCAGATTTTATAATAAAACACAATGCCAGATCTTAAATGCTTAAATGCCAGAAGCCTAATGAATGCTTAAACCCCATATCTGTGATTTTACCCAAACCTTAAAACAACTTGAAAATTTGGAAATATAGAATTCATGTTAAAAATTGATCAATACCTTAAATTCCTCTGAATGTAATAAAATGTTTGCTAAAGTGCTGGTTTCATTCTGACTCACCTTTTCTAGAATGCTTTATGTTTACATTAAGTCAGACTTAAGTTGCCTTATTATGACCTTCACTCAGTCTTACTTATCAATTCCCATTTCAAAGTGAACTCTCATGAGTGAAATATTAGCCAAGTCATTTAATATTTTTTGATAGGTAAGCCAGGTAGATAATTCATTATATAACACTTATTTTAAGTGATGATGTATGCCTAAACTTGGAATAGATTACTTTTTCACCCAGTTTTGTTTAAATTCTACTAATTCATTTGTTACTTTTGTTATGCTCCATCTGTAAGTCAAAAGTGAGTTTTTCAACAAGTTGTTTATTTTATAAATTTGACAGTTCAAGCTTTTCATGTATTTTTGTAAAGTCATATTTATCATTTAGGTTTTACTTACTTTATTTTTAGTGTTCTTGAAAAGAAAAAAAAATGGTTTCCCCTGTCTAACTGACTTCCAATATGAGAACAAGCTAGTCTTCTTTTATAAAATGCTATCTTCTGTCTTTCATGATCAAAATAACATTCATAAAAAGCTTTGTCCCCAGTATTGCAAAGGAAAAAAAAAAAGAACTTTGCAAACTAAAGTTCTGTGTAATGAAAGGAAAAAAAAAAGGAAAGGTATGAAGGTTGAGGTACTTTACCTCAAATGTCCCATTTTTTTTCATTTGAAGAAATGTTTTTGTCTTTCTCTTTATTGCCATTATTGTTATTCCTTAAAATATCAAGATGGGGCTGACATAATGAATAATAATGCTCAATTCTAATTAATGACCCCCTGAAAGCAAATTATACAAAATGCATTTTAGTGGAATTGTTTCAGACAGTGACTTTATGTAATATTCACTATAATAGTGATAGCCGCCATATACTGAAAATTTAATATGCTGGACATTCTGCTAGGTGCTTTCCATATATTATTGCTAATTTTCATAAGAAGTCCATAAGGTAACTATTAGTATTGCCATTTTGCTAATGAAAGATCTGAATGAAAAATTAAGTAACCAGCATAAAGTCACAGAATTAATAAAACAAAGGCTGCCTAGAATAGAAATTGTGCAGAGATATAAATAGGTCTACTGATTTCCAAAGCTTTTCTGTTTGAAAAATGAAAACAACAAGAATACAATAATTGCCTAAATTTATTTGGTTCTTACCAAGTGATAGGCTGTGTCCTAAGCAGGCATTATCTCATGAATATAGTATATTTGATGTTATGTAAACTTAATTTTTCACTAAAATTTTAGCCAAAATGATTTTCCTTTTAAGCAAGATGCGGTGTCACCTTATTTCCTAGAAAATACCATTCCTGATTATGAGTTGCACCTTCAAATTTCTTGATGCTTCTCTTCTGAAAGACCTACCAGCTAATAATAGTACATCATTTGATTTACCACAACTCAGTGTGGTCTTTATAGTTTTCAACATATGATTTGGTTTCTGTGCCAAGAAAAAAATGAGTTTTATTGGAGTCAACTTATACCAACCAATATAACCTGGAGAATACAGTAGGAATATATGGTTATTAACTTAAGATGTGTAAGTCCATTGTAAGATGTGTAAATCCATTTCCAGGATCTCCTCTTTTTTAATTATTGGAGAATTAGGGAAACTCAATTTGTCTACCAAAAGATTTTCTTAGACAATTGTCTAAGAAATTAGACAGTTTCTTCAGTGTTTCACTCTATCTGAGTTTTGCTTTCTGAAGTTTTAGTTATCCATGGTCAACTGCGATCAGAAGATATTAAATGCAAAATTCCAAAAATAAGTAATGCACAAGTTTTTTAATAATTCTTATTTATTTTTCTCTTTTCACATTTTTATTGGTACATGATAGTTGCATATGTTGATGGTATTTGTTGTTACATATTCATACATACTCACAATACAACAATATAAGTTGGTCAATATCACTTTCCGGCATTTCCCCCTCCTTTTCCTCCTCCCACCCCCTGTTTCGTTTCCTCTACTGATCTCCCTTTTTCTTTTTCCTCTTCAGTTTTTACATATGAAAGAAAACATAAGATTCTTGACCTGAGTTTTGCATATTTTGCTTAATGTAGTGGTCTCAAGTTCCATCCATATTCCTGCAAATGTCATAATTTTATATTTTTTAATATTCCATTGTGTATATATACCACATTTTTTTTTTATCCATTCATCCATTGGTGGACACCTAGGCTATTGTGAATTGTGCTGCTGTAATCATGGGTATGCATGTCTCACTATAGTATGAGGACTTTAATTATTTAGTATAAATACTGAGGAGCAGTAGAGCTGAGTCATGTGATGCTTCCATAACTAATCATTTGAGGAACCTCTGTACTGATTTCCACATAAGTTATATAATTTACAATTCCACCAATAGCATAAAGTACTCCTTTTTATCTGCATCCTTCCCAGTATTTTTTATTATAGGTATTCTTAATGACTGCTATTTTGACTGGTATCTGAAGGATAAAATGATAAAATCTCAGTATAGTTTTTTAATTGGTTATTTTTAGTTCCATATAATATTAGGATACATTTTGACATAATTATAAAAGTATAGAATATAATTTGTTCTAATTCAGTTCTCAGAACTTCCCCTTTCCCTCCCATCTTCCCTCTCCCATTGCCTTTCTTACACTCTACCAATCTTTCCACTATTTATTTGCAGTTTTTATTTTCATTTTTCTTAATTACTAATGATG